GGTACTGCTGCTTTCTCGTTGGCTCAGCCTGTTAATAAATGAGACATAATTTCATGTGACTGGAGAAAAAGGATTCTCTCTCTCTGCATTTTTTTTTTAGCTGTGACTTTTTAATAGAAGTTGGTTCGTGTACAGGCATTTGAGTCCCTCAATTAATTTCCATCTAAATGAGGTTTTTCCAGAGATAACCAGTGTTTTAGCTCCATTTGGACTTAATTTGTATGATGGGAACCTCTGTTTCTGTCGGTTCCAATTCGTCTGGTGACTCCAGCATTTATTACCTGGGTGATAATTCCCCACTACAGACAGCAGCACCCAGAGCTGAGAGATGGATGGTTTCCAGTAGCAAGCCAGGGGAAGGGCTACTTTCCAATACCACTCAATAAATAGGAAATAATAATAAATTATTAAATAAGCCATGTTCCGAGGACAGGCTCACATCATGGTATTTACAATGCAAAATGATAACCACCAAAAAAAGAGAAAGGAATAAAATAAAATAAAAAAGTCAACTCACAAAATGAAAACAGAGATGAACAAAATAAATAAATAAATAAATAATCCCAACAACAAAAAAATTACAAATACACAAACAAAAAAGTTGCAGAGGGACAATGACCATGGTGTCAATGCCATTGGCTCATCAGTGCAGAACAAAGAAGGAATAATGTTCTAGAAACTGTTGTCCAATGATGCTATGTCTGGGCCAGGTGTCTCTGGTGGGCTGGTTAGGGGAGGAATAGGGCATTCGTTATTTTAACACCAAATCAAATTTTCGACTCAGCAGAAGGGGAAACAAAGTAAAAAACATTGTTTTTTGTTTTGTTTTGTTTTTCGGAACACCCATAGAAGAATAGATGAGGCCGTGGGGCGCGGGTGGGGAGGTGGGGGAGGGGGATCTAGCACAAGACTGACAGTATGGCTCATTGGCTAGAACACTTGCCTAGTATGCACAAAGACTTGGGTTCTACCCCCAGCACCACAGAAGAAGAAAAAAATGTGGCAGAGAAAAAAAAAAAAAAAAGTCGGAAGTTGACCTTGACAAAGACATAACTCATTGCTTTTTTTTGTTTTTTTCAACCTTTGGTAGTACCCCAGACTTGTACTTCTTTAGGCAAATCCCTTTGGGGAAAATGCTGAGAAATGTAAGGATGGGGTGGGGGTGGGCTGGCTCTCTGATACTGAGACCCAGATTCCTTCCCAACATTCCCATTTTATTCTGCTCCTGAAAAGCCGAGTCTCCTTCCAGGGAGGTCTCAGAGAGAGTCTGGAATGCACTCCAACTTTGGTGGACTTGGATGGTCCTTGCTGGTGAACTAACTTGGAGGTAGTTCACTTTCTAGCTACCCAGTAGGCCTCCGGGTGCTATTTTTAGTTTATTCCTAAGAATGGGAACTTCCTTGTAGCTCTTCAAGCCCCTTCTCTTCCCCCTGCATCTTAGTGAAACTCATTGTTCGTTGACTCTCTCAGGCCTCAAGCCAACGTCCAGAATTTTTTGTCAACTACCCCAACTTACTAAGTGGGAAGCCTGGCCCACGGCTAGGTAGTAACTATCACCACAGCAGAAAGGTTAAGGAGCTTTGGCAACATGTTGCTTAACTTCAGTCTACACTCTCGCCCATTTTGGATGTTGGTGGTTGAGCTAAATCCTCACCATGAACAGCCTTCACAACACAGTGCACTAACCACTGTGCAAGCATGGCTAGGGACAGCTTTCAAGTGGTGTTATTCCCTAGAATCGGAAGGTAATGAGGGTAAAGGGGACAGACACACCAGGGTTTAATGGTTCTAGTTAACCGTGGTTATCAGTGTCCTGGAGAGAGTTCTATGTTTGTTTGGCCAGAAATTCAAAACAGGAGAAAGAGAAGGAGGGAGAGAGATGGAGGAGGGGGAGGAGGGTGCACCTTAGCATCGGAGGTATCTAAACACCTTCTGAAAACTGTTTCCAAGGGAACAATAACACTTTGCTTGGGTTAGGGTATGACAGCCATGGTGAAGGGAAGAGCCAGGGATATGGTGAAAGTTTAGTAAATCCACAACTGGACCAGACAGGCTGGCCTTGAAAGTCCATGGAGGACGACTTCAGAAAGGACAAGAGCTCTCTGTAGCCAGCCAGCAGGCAGAAGCCACCGCCAGCTGGTTAGGAAGGCGGGACTGATAATGGTCTCTATGTCCTAGATCCCAGAATGAGCTTAGAAATGACCTTTGGGGGGACATCTGGCTGTCCCCTCCATCCGACTTTTTTTTTTTTTTTTTGTCTAATTTTAGAAGTAGCTTTGTGCTATCCCTAAAGGAAAAGCTCAATATCACAGCAAAGGGCATTTACTTTGGGTGTGCAGGTCTCCTAGGATGGCCCCTGCCCTCTTCACAAAACAGTGTTTGTTTACTGCCGGTGAAACAGGCAAGCTTTCCAACCTCCAAAGCTGTGGGGAGAGGAGTTAGTCCACCTGGAGGGGAGGCAGGTGGGTGTGACAGACACAAATCCAACCAGTCTTGTTCACAGGAAGGAATGGGTGTCTGACTGATTAGAAGAGTAGTGTCTTCCCTGGGGCAGTCCTGCCGTGAGCATCAGTCAAACCTCATTAAGCTGACCCCTTGTCTCCAAGAGCCATGCTAGTATCGAACCCTTCCTACCCACAGGGTCCCTCAATCCCGAGGTAACCGCTCTATCACACATGCTAGTGGTACCACTGAAAACTGGCCAGACATGTCACTCTGATGCTAAGTGGTCAGTGCAGGAGTCCTTCATGACGCTTTTGCCTTTGTGTAGCTACATCCAAGTGTCAGGCTCTGACCTTTGATCTAGGCTGACTTCATTTTTCTGATACAGTTGTGGTACAGCATGTGTACAATGAGGCGAGACACAGGTCTGACCCTCACTGAATAATGAACCTTGGGACTCGTATATTTCCGGGTCAGCTCCAGGGTGTACAGGGCTTAGAGCATTCATGGAAAAGACCAAGATGCATGCCTCTGGCCTCTCCAACTGCAGCCATAGCAACAGGATTTAAAAAAAAAAGCACAAACAATTCAGAAGACCATCCCACCAAATACACACATGATCACATATCCCGATACACAATCTCTCTGAATAAATAAATAATTAAATACTGCTAACCGTGAGAAATAAGAGCTCATCACATAAATAAAATAAATAAATAAATAAATAGAATAAATAAAAAGTTTGCTAGGAGCCCCAGGCCAAAAAATAATAAAATAAAATAAAATAAAAGGTCCCCTAGAGTGGTTTGAAAATGAGGATAGTCTGTGTCTTTGAGGGAGGCTCTCCTGCCTTCACAAGCTGTCCTGCTGAGGAGGTGTGGTGGCTCCTGGAAGCCTTTGTCTCCATGATGGAGATGAGGCAGGGGGTTGGCAACCTGGGCAGGCAGGGATGAGGGTTATTTACAGTTGCTGTACACGCCCTCCCTGGGTACCTACTCCTGTGCCAGGCACCTGCTGTCCAGCCTTTTGTGGTATCAGCATAGGCATCCTTGAGTCTTTGTGGGTGGAATTTCCGTCTGGGCTGCAAGCTGTGGCGGGAGAGCCAGTGTGGCCATCAGTACTTCTCCTTGCCTACCGGATGGCGAGCTTCCCTGGTGCTCACTGCCCCCCCCCCCACTGATAGGGTGGGGAAGATTGGCATGGAGAGATCATTGCTTTCAGGATGGGAATTTTCTCCCTCTCGAATGCTTTCCTTGGAGCAAGAGGGATGAGTAACGTGTTCTGGCACTAATCGCGCTTCAGGTTCCAAAGCTGGGCAAAGAACCCTTCTCTCCGTGTGCCCTCACCACAAACTTGACACCCACGAGGCTCCGGAAAGCCAGGCAGCTGGTGAGGGGTATGCCCACGGGTTTATTTTAAGGTCCATCTCTCTTGCCTGCCTGTTCCCAATGTCTTTTGCAGATAAAGCAGCTGATGGCATTGTGTGTCAGAGGGCAGCTCGCCCTTGCTGCCCAGCCCTGGGGAGGAGGAAGGTAAAATGAGGGCGGCAGCAGCAGCAACAAGCGAACTTTCCTAAGCCGACAGTAAAGCCGGCAGGGACCGAGCCAGCGAGCACGCAAGTCCCTCTGCCACAGGCTCTCTGTATGTGGGGACCCCACAACACGGAGCTACATGCAGGGGTCCCATCTTGGCAAAATTCCTGAGAGGCAAGGAGAGTGGTCTTCATGTAAGACGGCAGGTGCCAGCCTGCTCTGGGTAGAATCCAGGGTGTGGCAGTCTGGACAATGTGGAGGGGCCTGGCAGGCGCCAACTGGAGGGCAAGGGCAGACTGGCTGGCGCTGGGGGGCTGGCTGCTAGCCACAGCACTGGGAATGCTCAGCAGATGGTCCCATGGAATCACGTTGGTGCCAGCCACTGGGGATGAGGCAAATCTGGAAAGTAGGGCTATAGCCCAAGGTATGCTGACTGGTCCATTCTCCTTATCCCCACGGGATCCCAAGGCCCTGTGTAAAGGTCTCCATTAGGATGAAATCTGCTGGGATCCCTTCTCTGACTAGGCTGACGTACTAGGAGGGCCAATGGCCGGACTCTTTGCTGTCTCCAATCTTTCCATCACCAACACTAGCATCCACCTCCCCTGCTGATTCCGTTTTCTCCCAGAAGGACCCAGGAGCTCCCAGCCTTTGCCCATGTTGGGAGGTTAAAAGCTCTTGAGTTTTTATCTTGGACTTCACCCTTGGTCTCCTCTATTCCCAACCCTGAGGTCCAAATGTGCAGCCACGAGATTGAAGGAGTGGAGAAGGATTGACCCTGACCTCCAGTAGACATCCTGTTAGTGGTGGGTGAGTTGAACAGAAATGTCGCCACGTGTCCTGGCCAAGCCCAAACTTTTGAATCATGGGTGATAGCTTTCCACAAGTGGCCCTCTCCATCTGCCCAGGTGACTCTTAGGATGGCGCTGGTAGAGGCTCCTAGCAGCTTGGCAAAGGAATAGGAGTCCTTGTATCCTGTCCCACCTTCCCAGGAAAGCAGAGAGGACAGGAGACAGGAGCCCTCTGTCACCAGGGAGCCGGCATGAAAAGCAGGTAGTAAAGGAGACTGGCAGAGTATTGAGGGGTCTTCCCGGTGGGCAGCTGGCTCGAGCGAGGGCCCTTGCTTAGCGCCTCGTGCTGGCATAGCTTTCTGTTGAGCTGTAGCTCAGGCTCCGACTCCGACTGCGGCTCCGGGAGCCCAGGCTGAGGCTGCGGGAGCTGGAGCTGCGGCTGGTCCGCGTCCTGCTCCGGGTCTGGCTCCTGCTGCGGCTCCGGCTCCGGCTGGGACTCCTGCTCCGGGAGTAACTGCGGCTGGCAGAGCGGCTGCTGCTGCTGCTGTACCAGGAGGAGGCGCTGCTGAGGCTGCTGGATGAGGAGGGGCTGGGTCGGTAGTAAGGGATGGGGCGTTTGCGGGCACTGTAGAGAGCAGAGGTTGGAAGAGGTGAGAGAGCTCAAGCGCCCCCCCCCCCCCCCCCAGGGAGCACCAGTGCGGTTCCCAGGGAAAGCAGTGTCCTCCCATCCCCCAGTCTCTTAGGGAGAAAAAGAAAACCAGAAAACAAAACAAAAAAAACCCAAGACCTCAACAAAACAACACAAATTCCTCCATCTCTTCTCCTCTCGCAGTTTTGAGATCAAAGAAAAAGCCTGGCTTAGTACTATTCTATCCCGAAAAAGCGATAATGTCACTTAAAAGAAAGAAGGAAATCAACAAATCAGGCCTCCAGCTCAGAGTTCCCAGCTGGCAACAGTATCTGCATTGACACTTTAATTGAAATTTTATTTTGCTATTTTTAACTTTTACTAGAAACGTCTATTTCGAGTAGATTCTATTTCTAGGAGGGAAAGGCTGGTTTTTCCATTTATTGTAGTATAGTGTTTATTTTTTTTTTTAAAAAATAAGTGCACGGGGCGTGACTGGGGGGAGGGGCTGTGAAAAGGGGCGTATTGAATTTAAGAAATACATCCATGACCAGCTAACCAGAAGCATGGGTAATAGATGCTGGGAAGAGATCACTGTGGACCATTTGAGCAGGCAACTCCATCCATTACCCAGGGGCTCCACTTCTTGCCCTTCCTAGTCCTTTCCAGGAGGAATACAATGGGCTTCCAGGATCCCTTCCCCTGTGGGTCTCTGGGATGAGTGGGGGTGTCTGGGAAGATAACCTAGCCTGGGGGGGGGCACCATCTAGCCATTCTCCCAGCTTCCAAGGCCTGAGAAATTCAGTTTCTCTCACAGCCTTTGTCCTCTCTTCCAACAACTTTTCTCCTCAGAGACCTTAGCTGCCTGCCCAGGTCACATCTTCCCCGATTCTGACCATTCGGTCACTGATGATAGAATGCAGCGTGTCCCACGTTTAAATTTACAAGGCCAGGTCACATCTTTTCATCCCCTTTCATCTCCCCCACATGACACTCCTGCGAGTCATGCCATGTTTTCTGGGTGAGAAAAACAACCCGGAGGAGGGGAGGGGGGAGGTCTCCAGGTTCCCTAGGAAACCAGGTCTTAACTCAAAATCCGTTCACCACGGCTCTATTTAAGTCCTTGGAAATTCCGGCAATATTATGTGTGCTCTCTGAACTTGGTTCAAGACATAATTGTGAATAGTTTGATTGTAACGTGGCATCTAAAGTGTGCTAGGGTAAAGGGTTACCTTCATTGAGATGGGCTTCACCACCAGGCCAATGCCCTGCCCTGTGATGGCCTGGGTCCCTAGTCTCTGGCTGGTCCCTCCCCTCTTTTCCCTAACCTCCTCTTAGCTCACTGGCCCCAGCTGGGTTCCTAGCCTCCAGGACACCTCCCAGGCTACACATTACTCCTCAGATTGATCCATTGTTTTTCCCAGAGCCCAGGGTGAACTCGGGCCATGTGCTGTCTGGGACCCTTCCCCCACCACAGCCTAGCAGATTGGGAGCTTGATAAAAATCCATACTAGAGTAGGCTTTGAATAATAATTAATAATAATAATAATAATAATAATAATAATAATAATAATAATAATTTTAGGGTGAGGAAGGGGCATCCTGGAGCCCCCACAATCCTTAAGTCCCAGCCTCAGCCCCCAGGTCCACATGGGAGGATGGGGCAGTGGGGTGAAGGCTGGAAACAGGCAATCCCTGCTTCAGGGTCTCACCTGGTTATCCTTCGAGCCTCCAGGTGGCTTGGGGAATCTCTCCGGCGCTTCCTCATGGGCGAGTAGGATCGTCGCCTCCGGCGTGCACGCTCTCGGGGCTGCAATTCCTTCTCACCATACTTGGGGTCTCTGAAGGGTTGCAGGGGTGGGCGGGATGAGGGATTGCTACGTAACTAGGACAGGGCTGGCTTTTCTGCAGGCGTGGGAGACTCCTAGCTGTCCCCCGTCACCCTACTAAGACTGGCCTTTGCCCGAGGCCCCAAAGACAGGGACTCTCACCCACTTTGGGAAGAATATGATTAGATGAGCACCATGGGGCAAGCGGGACAAGGCAAGAGTGGTAGGGTGGTGTGTGCGTGCGTGCGTGTGTGTGTGCGTGTGTGTGTGTGTGTGTGTGTGTCCCTCGGCAGAGGTACAAAAGTCGGTGGGTGAGGAGGAATGTAGCAGAAGGCCCTGAGATGGGCAAGAACTGGAATTGTGAATGCAGGGGCAAGAGGAAGCAACAAGCGCGCAAGGAGATGGAGCGGCAGGGTGTGAAAGGGCAGTAGGTCAAAAAGTGTATTGGGCCTTGTTGGCACTCTTCCTTGGACAAAAAGGACTGCAAGAATTCCCGTCCCTACTTCTCCAGCGCTAGGGATTGGGCAGGGTTTGGGAGACTGGTACCGAGAGGCAAAGCCAGAATTTAGGATCTAAGTAAAGGGGTGTGGCTAAGGAGGCAGGCTCCATCCTGGGGGTGGGGTGGCGTGGCGGGTGGGATAATACCTGCTGGGGCTGTAGCGGGAATAGCTGGGACTTCGACGAGACCTCGAGCTTCTGCTGGGCGGGCTTCTCTTGCCAGACTTGGAGGAATAGCTGGGGGAGCGAGAGTAGGACCTGGGGAAAAGGGAAGAGGCCCTGAGGACCTGCGCTAGGCTTGCGCCGACGGCCAGGGCGCTATGCACCTGGCTCCCAGGTGGCGCTCTTTTCCTTTTCGCAAGACTGGTAAAAGCCCCTGGCCCAGAGCCGGAGAATGAAATCCTCTCCTTCTTTGAGTAATTAGTAATAATACGGACAACTCCTTCTTATTTCCTGATGCTTATTGTCCTGGCCACTTTTTCTTTGTGATGTCTTGGTCACATGATTCCATTACTCTAGGCTTCTGTTTTCTTGTCTGCAGAGTAAGGTATCAGTACCAACCTCACAAAGTTGGCTGTAAATCTAAATTAGAGCAAACCACTGAGCAGAATGGCATGTGTACTAAGTGCCAATTAGCCACTACACTGGAGACATTGGCTATGACTGTTGTACCAGTGCCAGGCATTGCACTTTTTTGAAGATGTATGTTCCTTATTTAATCCTCAACACACCCTAGGGTTAGGAGCTGTTAAGAATTTCCTATTATGGATGGAGAAACAAAGACACAGAGATGGGATGTAATTTGATCAGGGTCACATAGCTAGTGGACCCATGAATCCAAGCCTCTCTGGCTACAAAGAACTTTTGACTTCTGCAGATTGTGGCAGCTTGCCCACCCATGGTTTTGCTCTTCTCTGGCTTCATGAATGAATTTTAAAAAAAATTAAGAAGTGAAAGTTCTATAAACAAACAATTCATAAGTTTAGCATTTCAAACCATCCCGGAGAGCAGGATGTCCTGTTTCATCCTACCTAGAAGGTGGCTTATTTCTTTGTGCAGGATTTCCATGCTGTATATGTTACTTGCCTGTTACTAAGTATCTTTCTTGTGATCACATCTACCATCACAGGATTGTAGCGCATGTGTGTAAGCAATACCTATTTACTTAAAAAAGTGTCCACCCACAAGTGAGAGAGTAGTGATGCTACTATCTCACACCTGTCAGGAGGGAGCAAAGATATGCTTCCACTAAGCGAGAATGTCAGCACTCTCCATCCTATAAGAGAGAACAAACCAACCCAGAGGCAGAGTGTACTACGATGTGTGGCAAGAACAGAGATCTCCAGGAAACAGAAGGAGAGCAGAGCTCGTGTTAACTTTGCTACAGCGCCTCACACTGAAAATACTTCCATCATAGTGCATGGCGGGTGCTCAGCTACAGAGGGAGATGGGCAATGTTGTTATAGGGTTTGGTACATATCCAAGGGTTTGACTACAGGCATCCACTGGCGATCATGGACCATACCTCCTGTGGACAAGAGAGGAAGGGCACCTCTTGGGGATGCATCTCAATTACTAGCCCTATTGTCCATACTTACTCTCCTCTCTCTTTCACTACTGATGATCTAGCTCTTGGAGAATATTATGGGGGAAGGAACAATGCATTCCTATTGAGTGCAGTTGTGTGCCACCACAACCCCCGCAAAAGTGTCCTACTGGTTTGCTCTTTGCATTTGTATTGAGAAATCTTATACAAAAAAGATAAGTGCTGGTTTTGAAATTACCAACCAAGGAAGCAACTGACTTTTGGTTATATGGTCAAGAAAGAGGAACAATCAACTTGTTGTTGGAATTTTTTGTTTGTTTGTTTGAAGAGGGAAGCTGGACTCAAGGGGGCCATGAGGGTTGGGTTAGATGAGCAGTTCCAGTTCCTGAGATCTCTTGTCTGTATGTTTAAAAACAGAGCTTTGCCAGGTCACCATGAAAGGTAACCAAGCAATATCAATGGCTATTGAGATTGGGAGGTAGAATACAAAAACAGCTGCAACTCTTCTCTCTCTATCTTGCTTAACCCCTGAAATGTAACTCTGTAGTGAGATATCCACCCTGCCCGCACCTGTTGCACTAATGATGCCCATTAGGGAGTGGGCACAGGTGTGGACATGATGGGGGAGGCTAGGTCTGGGGTCCTGGACCCCAGCTCGCTCTCTTGCTGCCTGATCAGGTTGTGGGTGGCATCCATAGAGCAGAGACCCTTGGCAGTCATCTGTTTCATGTGTAAGTGAATTCTCCCCCAAATAAACCTCGCTTGAGTCCCAGTGAATCTTAATTTCCCACGCAATATCAAGAGCAAGCTGGGATCCAGGACTCAAGACCTAACTTCACCCCCCACCCCATCATGTCTGAAGCTGTGCCACACCCAAATGGGCATGGTCAGTGCAACAGGTATGGGCGAGGTGGATATCTCACTACATAACTCGGTAACTCCTCTCCCTAAAGGAGAATCTTCGGCTGGGTCTTGCGACTTATTATGGCTAATAGAATAGCAGGAGGGATGAAATGTTACTTAAAGATGGGAAGTAAGGAAGCCTTGTACATTACTGCCCCCCCTCCTTGTCATTTCTATGAGTAGAAAGCAGATAGGCCTGCTGGTTGATGAGAGACAACAGGCAGCAGAGACAACTAATCATTGAACGACTTTCAATTCCCAGCCCCCAGCCAACTCACCATCTGGTCAAAAATGCATGAGGGGGCTGAAGACAGAACCAGCCTGCTGAGCCCAGCACAAATTGCTAACCCACAGAGTTACAGGGACTAAGTAAGTACATTTTATGTGAAAGATGATGTTGGTTACTTTTTATGCAGAAGTTAATTGATACTCACCTCATCCTCATGCCAACAGAAACAATAACAATGAATGTTCCTTGTGTTCTAAGTGCTTTCACCCTAGGTATGAGCCATTGGGCCACTGAGCCGTACATTCCTATTATTTTTATTTTTCACAGAAAGAAACAGAAGCTCAGAGATGTTGACTGTCTTTCCTAAGGCTGTCAGTAGCAATGGCTGGAGCAGATGTTCAAAGTCAAGCCCGACTTGACATATAGTAGGTCAAACATCAAAGGCATACTCACCTTTTTTCAGAGGAGGTGGACCGGCTCCGGGTGTACCTGGGAGAGGATCTGTGGTTTGGGGACCGGGAAGAGGGACTGGAGGATCGAGTGCTGGTGTAGGAGGAGCTACGGGAGCACTCTTTGATGGGGGAGCTTCGGGCTGTGGATGGGACCAAATTAGACTTCTTCACCTCAGTACACTGTAGACACGGAGACTGAAATCTTCTGTAGGAAGGAGAAGATCTGTCATTACCCAGCTGCCCTTGCTCTGGGAGTACCTTGGCCTGATGCTTCCTCTAGCACCTTTGGCTAGGACAGAGTGAGTACCCTCAATTCCTTTCTCCACCTCCCCTGTTTCTGAGAAGAACTGCCAGGTGACAGAATTTAGCAGGGCAGAGATAGAAAAGATGAATGACAGCTGATCAAGGAGAATGGTATTTAATCCAATTCAGCATCTCCCAGGTAGGGGGCACCTCAGAGTGCTCCAGGAGGCCCTTGAGGGCACAAGGCTAAATAACATCGAATCATGTGCTGAGAGGCTCCTCCCATCCTCTTTCTTGTCCTCGTCCAGTCCTTCTAATTTCATGACTGAGAAAGCCCTGGCTGGATGCTAGTGGGTTGTTTTTTAAACAACTCTATAACACTTTATAATATCCCCAAGATAAAGAAGCAGGCCTTGGAGTCAGAGCCTTGAGCTGGGGACTGTAACTGACCAGAGTTAGATACACTGTTTAATCATATTATCACAGGTGCTTTCTATTTAGATCCTCTTCTGTTTCAGAAAGGGGAACACATTTTCATGCAGAGACAGTGACATGATCACAATAAACACAAACCAGTGGGAATATAGTCTAAGAGAATCAAGAAGGTGACATGTGGTTAGCTTAAGTTTGGGCAACTTTGATGTAGCTGCCCACTTTGCAGATGGAGAGATTGAGGTACTCCAAAACAGGTGGATGGAGGCATGTTTATAATCAGCAAAGGGTGGGGGGGTCTTTTTTTTTTTTTTTTTTTTTTTTTTTTTTTACAATCTCTCTTGTCTAGCTAGGGCCATTGAACTCCTTCTGAAGATATGACCATTTGCTTAGGCCATGAGTCAACTTCAGATATAGTTTGAAAACTGCCATGAATCTTGAAAGACTCAGGATGGACCTGGCTTCTGATCACATCTATAATCTTGGCTCTTAACCCTAACAGGGTGTCCCCTCCCAAACAAAACATCCTATTCTGTCCTTTGTCTCTAGACCTCAGAATATGTTGGCATCCAACTTCTCTCTTCATGTCTCCTAGCCATTGCTCTACACTTGGCTCTGGCTTGACTTGACCCCATCTCCTCTGGAAAGCCTTTTAGGACAGCCTCTCGTCCCCATTCTGGGTTGACGACCTCCCGTGTGTTGCCATGGCCCCTTCTGCCCAGCCCTTCCCCATCCTCGTAGGACTCATTTGGTCTTTTTATTCCATGTGTTTTCTGCCCTGGGAACTGAGCTCATTGGCAAAGGACATGTGTCCCCCTTAGACTCTATATGCTCCACACAGGGCTCGTCACGTGTCACCTTAAGTCATCCTGTCTGTCTTGGACTCTTCACAGGCATCATTTCATTTTATCTTCTCAGTAACATTATGTGTTTGGCCCTACTTTTATGACCAAATTATGGAGGAAGCTCCTAAGGACTAGTGACTTGCTCAGGGTCACTCAGAGTTCCAAACTTGGATCTGTCTAGCCATACACACACACACACACACACACACACACACACACACACACACACACACCTGTCATCTCTCCAATTCCTTACCCTCTCTGTCTGTGGTACCCTTGACTTCCAACTCATATCTCTTCACTTAGCCCATATTTATTGAGCCCTTTGTCCATAGCTGGCAGGACATAAATACCCATGATTTCACCATCACATTCCAAACTGAAAGGCTGGTTCTAAATTATTTAGTTTGGCTGTCTGCATATCAAACGAGGCAAGTAACAGCTATCTATCTTTTAGACTTTGGGCCTGGTTTCAGAGAGAGAGGTCTGAATTGGAATGCTGCTATTGCTGCTTGTTAACTGAATTTGTCTGAGTCTGTACCTCAGTTTCCTATCAGTTTACAAAAGAGGTTATAATAGTGCCTGTTGTGAAAAGGAGCTAATAGGAGCCGAGGAAAGCTATTAATGGGAAGCATTTTTTTTTTCAGTTTCTAACGTGCTATCTGGCTCAGTAGATACTAATGGCTTTGAAATTAATTAATACTAATACTTTTTCATTATTATTATTATTGCTGTCTTTTCTCTAGATTCTTCCAAATCACAGCACTTTAGTGTGTCAGTAGATATGGGGCAACCTTCCTCTCCCATGTAGGAAATTCACTGACATTTGCACTGACCCAACTCTGGCTCCCAGCAAGTGTGGGCATGAGCTAAGGACTGGGATGTCCCAGAGCAGGCAAAACAGAGGCCAGGCTGTATACAGACCCAAGCTGCTTGTCCAGCCCTGAAGCCTGGCTAGGTCTTGTGTAGGAGATAGGGGTGCTCTGTCCCTGCAGACACTGTTAGTTGCTTCCATGCTGTGTGTGGCCATCATTTGGAAAACTTGGCCACACAGAACAAAGGTGCCATTGAATCCCCAGCAGGAGGAAGACCCCAATGTTTCTCTGGGTGGGGTGTGCTAGCCAACTCCCCCCCCCATGTGCCTAGTGAATTCTAAACTCATGAAAAGGGGCCCTGTCATTTTCTCACCCCTAACATCAGGCTGAGTGCTGCCTCAGGGTTGTGTCTGGTAAGAAGTTGAGGGATGCGTAACTGAATGGATGCTGTAGACTAAGTGGCCAGTAAATTAAATTAAAATACTACTCTTAGAAGAGCACTTTTAGTGGTTAGTATTATGATGTGATTATTTTCTTTTTTCAAATTCCTTGTCTCTGTGTGTGTATGTTTCTCTCTCTCTGTGTGTGTGTATGGAAGGGGGTGTATTTTTTGGGGGGTACAAGCTGATGCCTGAAATCTTCCTCCATCATTCTCTTCTATGAGGTGGCGTCTCTGGGTTAAATCCGGGGCCTAATGATAAGTCTAGTCTGGCTAGCCAGCTTGCTCCGGGGACCCCTTGTCTCTGCCTCCAGAGGGTAGAATTCAGGCAGGCCGCCATGCCCACCTGACATTTACACTGCTTGCTTGGCAAGCACTTTAACCGCTGAACTGCCCCCTGCCTCCGTTGCTGTCCGCTCGGATCTCTTGAGTGACAGAGCAGTTGCTATGAAATGATGGACTTGTCATTGGCTTGTAAACAGATGTGTAGATGTATTTTCAGAAGGAAAAATGAAGGCAGCAAGCACAGCGCCAGAAGAAAAACAAACCCTCAACTTTATAGTTAAAGCTATGTGTTTTTCATGAGTAAATTATATTTTCAAATGTGTTTGATTTCAGGACACAACTGAGCACAAAGCATGGGCCTCCTGGCCTCTGGACCTCATCTCCCACAACCAACACCCTTCACCAAAGAGGCCCATGTGTTAGGACTGAGGAGCCAACACCTCATATCATCACCCAAAGCCCATAGATCCTGCAGGGTTACTCTTGATGTTACGTATCTTATGACTTTGGCTGAGTTACTGGACACGTTTTATAATTTCATGTAGCTGAAACTGTGTGTGTCTTTTGTACAAATTGATAGCACATTATAATAGTTGCTATTATTATTATTATAATTTAGAGACAAATAGTATTCCAGAGTTGGGATATACCACAGTTTATTCACCTAAAAGACTTGGCTGGCTCCAAATCCTAAAAAGTATGAATAAAACTCCTATAATCATATATAAGCAGATTTTCTTTTGGTGTGAATATGTTTTCAATTTGCTTTGGCTAGGAGTATGGTATGTTTTTGGCTGACAGTGACCTAAATGAGGATCTTGGTAGACTTTCCCTGAGACTCTCGGTAGGTGAATTGTCATCTATTTTTGTCCCCTTCCCTCCATTCCTCACTCCTGATGTCAACATTTTTGCTTTTCCTGCAGAGACATCTGGCTCTAGCGTGTAACTTGCTACCTTCTGGGCCAGAGAGACTGGTCCGAGGGGACAAATGACCCAAGCTGAGCCAAGCAGAGCCAGTAGGCACCACCTTGGGTAATTTTACAAAGATTTTATTGGGGGAGGGGCAGAGGCAGTCTGCTGGCTGGTTGGAGACACAGGAGTTGAGCCTATCTGGAAGCTCTGGAAAGGTGTGCTTGGGAACGAAGCCAACAGTGTGGGTACAGAAATGAGAGGTGAAATTCAAAAGATAAACATGAAATGCGTAGGTCCAGCTGTACGTGTGTGTACGTACGTACACATGTATGTAATTTGTTTTGTTTTTTTCAGACAGGGTTTCTCTGTGTAGCTTTGGCTGTCCTGGAACTCGCTCTATAGACCAGGCTGGCTTCGAACTCACAGCGATCCGCCTGCCTCTGCCTGCTGGGCACTGGGATTAAAGGCGTGGGCCACCTCCTCCACCAACACCCAGCTAGATATAAGTTCTTTTTAATCAAGCTAATTTTAACGGAATGTCCTTTCTTGTGAGAAAGGGTAGGGCAATGTGATGACAGGGTAAGAAAGAGACGCTAACGTGGCGGCCCTCCCACCCCTAAATACACTGACCTTGACTCACTGCTCCTGCGTGTGGGGGAGACATTCTCCAGAACAGCCTCCTTGTTCTGCGGGGAGGAGGTGGTGAAAGAGTTTCCTGAATCAGAAGTGTTGCCGCAGTTGAGGTCCCGACTCTTGCTCAGGCCGCCAGCCGGGCTCCCCTTCTCTTGGCCCCGCGACCTGGCTGAGCTGGTTTGGGTGGACGGCGGCGAGGACGTGTCATTGCCTGAGTCGTACTCCTGCGAGCGCCCTCGGGAGGCGGTGAGCGGGCTGGTTGATTTGCTAAAGAGATCAGCAGCAGACCCCGACCCAGAGATCTGAAAACAAAAAGACCCGTCGGACACTGCTGAGCTCTGGGCTTGTGTAAGTAACCAAGAACGTTAACCATCATGAGTCACTGTAACGAAAGCCAAAGAGAGAGGGGAGAGAGGAGACGCCAAAAAACAAAAGCACAAATTCCTGAAAGAATTCCACAGAAATAGGAGACCTCTAGATAATTTTTTTTATTTTATTTTTTTGTTTGTTTTTTTTTTACCCCCTGCTAGAATAACTGGAAGATTTAGGAAATCATGCAGGGAAAAGGCATGCGATTCAGATTAAACAAAAGTAAAAGGAAATTATACAGAATGTAATCTCTAATGAACTCAAACAAAAGAGACAAATAATAGAAACAGGGAGGGAGGGTTGTAGACACCCTTAACTTCAAACAATAATAAAAGTAAAGGAACGGGGAAGAGGAATAGAAAAGGTGCTACAGGCCTCAAAAATTATATCTTGGAAATTAAAAACACAAAAGGAGATAAAGGCAAGTTTTAAATTTCAACCCTAACTTTTTTTTTTTTTTTTAAAGAAAAAGTTGCCTGAATAAAACCCTTAACAAATGTCACGTGGGTCAAAGTAACAAAGATGAGAATTGGTTTCTTTCTAATTTTTTTCCTTTCTTTCTTTCTTTCTTTTTTTAATAGTCAAGGTTGCAAACTCATGTTTGAGTAATTTCCAACTAAAGGAGTCAAGAGAGGGAGGGGGCAAAATAAATGTAAAGTCAAATAGTCTGGCCGAAAACAAACAAACCAAAAACAAAACAAAACAAAACAAAACGAGTCTCTACAGGCATTTGTGCGCGTCCTTCTCCCTCGAAGGAGGTAGCTAAGCATCCTGAGTGGCTTCTAATAAATTCTCTCATGTCTTTGCGGATTACATCACTTACCAAGCAAGGACTCCTCCTTTAGTTAGGAAAGGTGTAAGAGAAAGGGAAGAGCGGGCAACGTGAGTCCATCATCAGAGCCGTAAATGACAAGAAAAAACACACACCTTCCTGCACAACCTTAACCTTCGCCCTGAACCTTTGGCTTTGGGGTGCTCGCTCAGGGATTTGAACTACCATTATCTCACTCCGGGAGACCTAACTTCATTCACCTCGCCAGTCCCTTCCTGCCCAAGTTGGGTTGCAGAAACCTTCGCAGCATTGGTACCTGGAGCTATGGGTGGAATGGTAGAGACCTAGCCCTGTACTTCCGGGGACACCGAGGAGGGTGTACATGGTTACGACTGAGATTCAGAAGGACCTTGGACATTAGCGATTGAAGAGATGCCTCAGAGTCCTGTTTGGGGACTGATCTGGGAAAAACTGAGGGGCTTAGGGGGACGTGGAGAATTAGCACTTGGGAAGGGGATTCTATGCTGAGAGTATGTTTTCCTTCAACATTCAGGTCAGGCTGTGACTGAGAAATCACAGTGAATTTGCTTCTGGCTCCTGGGTGTTGTACCATGTTCAGCCTCGGGCAAGAGGGATCCTTTCCCTGGACTCTTTCTAGCAATACATCTCTATGGGGAGGGTGGGGGGAGAAATTGGTGTGATCAAGAGGTCACTCCCTGGAAACCACACCTCCAGACCACTCACTCCAGGGTACTTGGGTTCTCCAAAGTCTCTATTTAAGTGGTTGGCCAGCTTCCTCTGGGGTATAAGCCTCCTCTGCAGATCTGTTTTTCCATAAGTAAACTATGTCTCAAGTGGGCCATCTGGGCAGAATCTGTATGATCAGGTAGAGGTGTCCAAGTGTCTCTGTGTGATTCATGGCTGACAGGGGTAGGAAGCCTGAGACCTTGGGGCAGATTCTTGCTTACTACAATGTGTTCTAGCACTGGGAAGGGCCTGGCATTCTGAATTCAAAGGAGACTTTCCTATCACTGTGAAGACATGCTTGCCTCAACCTCTAAGAGGGGACATACTTTATGACTTTTTGACTTTACTTATGAGCATTTAGACATCTTGGCTAAGTTCAATAGTCTGGCCCTGGGCTTCACACATACTGGAAAAGGTTTTCCCATATTTAAAAAAAAAATCTACTTTCCCCCAACTTTATCCCCTGCTTAGTAGACTTGCTAGAGAGAGGACACCTGAGCTTTCTTAAGACACCACTTCTGCCTTGAGGGGGAGATGAGGACATCTGGAACTCAGAACCCTGACAATTTGAAATGCCAAATCCTAGAGCTAGGAGGCAGGGCTTTCTTTCTGGTTTCTCCCAGGAGGCTTTTTGCATATGGGCAAGGTAATGGTCTAGCCTTAGCAAATCCTGTCTAGTGTAGCTTCTGCCTTGAATACATCATGATTACCTGGCTACTTTTGCCTTGAAGGTGGCACCTCAAAATAAGGTGGCCAGGCAGAATTGTCTAGAGACCCCTTTTCATGTAATATACAGACTCTGTTCCCATTCAGCTCTTTCTAATGTCCAATATTCCCATGAACATTTCCTTGATCACCCCTATCAGGTATGAGGAACCACCATAATGGAGAGCTAGATCTGGGTTCTGGTCCAGGGAAAGGATCAAGGGATTTTTGACCTGGAGTGAATGATGGGGTAGCCAGTATATCAGGAAGCAAGTCAATCTTAGAGGGAACAAGGCTGGCAGAAACTTCAAGGGCAGGTACCCAGGAGTTCAATATGGAATCTTGTAGCTTGCTCCCTGGGGCATCTAGACTGGATTTTTATTCTTCCAAGAACTTTCTCCTGGCACTCACAACAGACTTACAAACATTAGTTTTCCTGATGTGTCATGGTTCCTTATGAAAGATTTTGAGTACGAAGTCTCTCTAGGATGGCACATGTATAGAAAGAGGACCTTGCCTTCTGAACACAGTCTGCCCCACAACCGAAGCCCACAGGGAGTTTTCACAGAGTTGTCTCCACCTGGCTATAACTTATGCACTCATGGCTTGTGTATTCGACCTGACAGCACTGCATAGGATGACATTTTCCATCACCAGGAAATAGAGATCAAGTTCTGCTGGCAGCTCTCACTGGGCGAGAATGCCAGGGTACACAAACCTACTGGCCTCCCCACTTGTTTAAAAGTCCCACCCCTGTGGTCAAATCTAAGCTCACTGACATGAATTACAGTGTTCTTACAAACCTGCCTGGCCTACTTCATAGACCTACCCCTAGAACTTCACATACCACTCTTCTGTGTGCCGTCCACACTCCATGCTGACAGCATGTGTCCTGGTTTTGCTAACATACCACACTCCCATCTCTAGGTCATTTACACATCCTGTTTGCCCTGGAAAAAATAAGACTCTTCCTTTCCCTCCCACCAGTCACCTCTGATCACCCAGACCAGGCTAGCACAACACTGTGTAATTAATTAATCCCATCTTCCCACCAACCATACCCTCCAGATTAAATGCCTTGTTACTCAGCAAGGGTGGATTTATTTGACTTTCACCCACTTACGGAGGGCAGGGGCCATGGCTGGACCCTCTAGAGTCTGCCTCAGGGTAGCTGCTCAACAAGTGCTGCTTAATAACCCAAGCTCTTCCATGGTCCTTTGGGAGCTGTAGGGACTCAGTGTTTGGTAGAGGTGCCTGTGTGACCATCAAATGGTGGAGACTGCTCAAAAGAACCTTCTTTTGAGAGAGGACTCATTTAGATCATTATTAAAAAACATCTCCATAACAGTTCTGGGTCTTGAAGCCAACTTAAGGCCAAGGATTAAGTCTGAGTCCTCTCTGACCCAGGGCAGCAGGAGAAGCACTCAGAGGTTCTGCCTGCACGTTCCCACCAGCATGGTCCGGATCTCAGGGGAGGATTTTGAGACCCATAAAGCCTCCTGAAGGAGACACGCTACAATCCCTCCTTGCTTTCTTTTGTTTGCTGTGCTGCTTTGGAAGGGCAGGTTGAAAGAGGTACCAAGAGCCCGGAAATTGGTATAGGAAAGGCTGTTAGCTTCAATTCTGGCTAAGTCCCTCAGGCTCTGGAATTTCTTCTTAAAGTCATCTCTTAAGAACACGATAAGTCAGAAACTGCCTATACTTGTCTCTGGAGCAGCCCAGCAGACATCCGTATTGAGGGCTTGGTCAATGGAGGCTAGGTGGGGTTCCACTTCTCACTTGCTTCCTATGACATGGCCAGCATCACCCACTGCCCCCAGTTAGCATATACCCCACTTTATTTGCCCCATTTAAAAGATACTATGGCAGGGGGGGAAGGAGTTATCTGGAGATGTTTCAATAATCTTTGTTCATATGAACACTGTTTTAAGTCTTGATGGACTCTGTTTATACTTTTAGGTGGGAGGAATATTTTTAATAAACCTGTCATTGGAGGCATGTGTCCTCCTAGCCCCAGACTCCAACTTCTTCAGAATCACAGTGGAGTGGCTAAAGGCAGAATGGGTCCTAGGGGAGGGGACAGGTGGAATGCTGTGACAGGTGACAATGGAGGCTCCTGTCTCCTTGCCCAAGTCCTCTCATCTCGGAACATCTTCTTCATAACAGATATTCCCCATGGCACACAAGACACAAGCAGTCCCCCACTCAACATCATCACAATTGGATGTTCCTATTTGTTCCTCGTTGACACATGCTTGCACTAATAGCCCTCTCAAAATCCATATTTGAATAACCCTTCCTCTGGTAGGGATGTCTATGGGTGCAGTGACTCTCTGATCATGTACAACTGGCTATACAGTGGGCCCCAAGCCCCTCACGAGCAGAAGTTATCACAGACCCATCATCATCTGGTAATAATGGCCCCACAATGCCCAGGATTCCCGAAACTCTCATGCTATGTATGACTTTCTTCTTTGGTTTGCTATCACCTCTTCCCCCATCTCAACCTTGATCCTTCCATTCTATCCTTACCAAATCTAATCTCTGGTGAATGGCAAGAAAACTGAGCCTAGGAGTTAGTCAATTACTGGGGAAGCTAGTCATCTCTAACCCAAACCTCCAGAAACCGAAACAAGAATTTGGGGGCTGGTGGCTAATTTTGAGAGATGAACTCCTTGCAGAGAAGAGAGAATAAGAGTCAAACGAGAG